TCATGCTTATTGGTGCTATACCATATAGAAATAACGATAACAGTTTAGTCCATTTATATCGATCAATTTCTAAATGTATCGATCTGAAGCAATAAGTATTACAAAGAAATTACTAATGATAATTTCATCTGGTCTTTAACCTTAAAAAGTATCCAATTACCGCTGCTCCTGTATATTATGGCAAATGCGGGGCTTGCATGGGCCGCCTTAGCATACAATGAATCATTATATGAATATAAGCACGGTAATATATCACTTGCAGTAAATATATACCGATATATTTCCTTAAGGGCTTATTATTCAACAGACAGCAAACATCTTTCCCACTTCAAAAAGTCTGCGACTTATCGATTTTCTTTTATCTATTACGATTTTTTATCGCAATTTCATTACAATCTTTTTTTTTTATAAACGAATTTTCGTTTGTTATTTAAAACCCCCTCATAATTTTCTTTTAAATTTCACCCCCGTGGCTCTCACCTCTTTTATAACCTGCCCTTTTTTCCGAAAAAAATAAAAAATAAAAAAATAGCTTGCTATCGATCGATCGATTTCTAATTTCATAACCGTCCATGAATAACCAACAAAACAAATCATCGGAAAGAAAAAGGGCTAATCCCTTAATTGATTTAATAGAAACAGAAAAGAAATACATAAATGATTTAAGATGTTTGCTAAAGGTTGGTGATATTTCTTATACGAACTCTTTTATTATTGTTGTTATCACCCGTTAAAAAGTTTTCTTTCATTTATGCAGAGAGTTACATCCTGTTGGAATTCTAAGGATCTTCCTCCGCCCGAATTGGATGCACTGTTCCTTGCTATCGAAGACATTTATAAACGAAACAAACAATTTCATTCGGTAATTATTATGGGTAAATTTTTTTCTTTCATACTCAATCAAAACCATATATGATTGATTGACTTATTTTTATCAGAAATTGGCAAAGCTTGGTACATCCCTTCAGTCCGCAGAAGAATTCGGAAATACGTTGGTGGCCTGGGTAAAAAAAATTTCTATTTTTAATTTATGTAAAAAAAATTGTTTTTTTCTCAATGTTAATCTTTTCATTCAATAAATAGGTGAATGAAATGGAAGAGCCATACACAAATTATTGTCGAAAGTATCGACAAGGTTTTGATTATAGGAAGGATATTGAAGAAAATTTGGTTTTACAGCAGACTCTAAATGTAATTAACTAATGACATTTTAATTGGCTATTTACGGTACACGAATACTAATTCATATTGTTGGTTTTAGGATATTTCTGCCGAAAACAATCAACCAGTATCATTGGATTACTTTTTTGATATTCCGTTGAAAAGGATTCATTATTATAAAAAATTATATATGGTTAGTATCTTCTTTTTGATAAACGAACTTTAAACACGAATTAAATTTTTATTTTTTATTTTTAAGCGGTTATTTAAAAGCACGGAACCTGGTCGTTCCGACCACATCATTTTGGCTTCTGCAAACGAAAGACTTGATCTCCTTATTAACCTAGAAAAGCAAGTTAAAGAATCAAATTTAAAAGATCCGATAATCGCTTCTCAAACGTTGTATCACTCTGTACCTTCACATTTAGTGGAAGAACGTGTTGTAACACCTAACAAAGA